AAATATAATGAAAAATACAAAAAGAAAGAGATACCTCATAAAACACAAAAGTTCATAGTACCAAACCACCATATGATCTAGCTCCAATATCCTAATTACCAATTCAGTAAATGCAACCTTGTTAGAAACATTGAAGAAATAAAAGAAACTGCTGACCAAGTACTCCTGCAACTGAAGAAGATGAGTTCCCGCCATCACCAGTATTTGCCATCAAATCGAACCATAGATCTTCTTTTTAAGCTCCATCTGAAAACTTTTTAAAACTTAATGTGATAAATAATGCGAAAAAAGATAGTGCTGTAACTCTCTTCAACATCATCAAAAAATTTAAAAAAAATTAGACTGAAAAAAAAAAAAAAAAAAACTAAACTGAAAAATATGATAAAAGAAAAAAGGCAACCCTCTTATTCCACTGATAAATCATAATCCACGTCTAAAAGAGTACTATCAACAAAAGAAAACAAAACACAAGTGACACGCCGGAACCATCTTAAACTTTTTGTTTAAATAGTTACACACTAACAAAATATAAAAATTTTAGCAACCCAAAAAGATAAAAAACACATGTTTATTTACCTTAAAAGTGCTTTTAGGATTGATTAGTAAACAAAAAGAATATTGTGAAGTAAATAATTCTAAATAAAAACATAACACAAATGACACGTCTGAACCATCTTAAACTTTTTGTTTAAATAGTTACACACTAACAAAATATAAAAATTTTAGCAACCCAAAAAGATAAAAAACACATGTTTATTTACCTTAAAAGTGCTTTTAGGATTGATTAGTAAACAAAAAGAATATTGTTAAGTAAATAATTCTAAATAAAAAAATATATACGTAATAGAAAATAAAATTTATGTCATAAGCATTAGAAAACAAACCTTTTATTCCACAAATATATCATAACCCAACATATCTCCAGCAATGTTACCACAAAAGAGAACAAAATATAGATAATATATGATTAGATTCTTTTCAACTTTTTACTTAAAGATCTTTATAATAACAAAGAAAGAAAATTTTAACTAGTTAAAAAACAAATATAACATTGAATATATGTTTATTTACATGATTTTTGGCGTTTGAAATCTACAACAATTACACAAAAGTGAGCATATCAATTTATAAATGATCAACACTCTTTTATGTTGTAATTCAAATTAGAAGAGAACCAATAACAATTAAATATAACATATGCACAGCTTGACATGGAGATTAAAAATGGCCATTAAAAGAGGACAATTTTGTTGTCCTCTGCATAACATTAAAAACAGCCTTAAGTATTACTACGTTAATGTACGCATACACTGACGAAATAATGCTAAATTGTTTCAATTTATAATCATTTCAACTCATGAAAATGTTAAAAACGAGATATTTGATTTTTTGGGCTGATAATTGAAGTTTATTTTTTTTTTCTTATCAGTTTATAAGAGTAGTTGTAATTTGTTTATAGTTTGTCGTTATTGTGTTTGAGATGTTTGTTTGCTGAAAAAATTGAAGAGCTAAATGTAATTTTTGTTTTGGTTTAAAAGCTAATTAGGTTTCTAAAATCATCAAAATAAAAAAAATGAATGATAACTCTAAATTATAAGTTTTTAAAAATTAAACTCTTAAAATAAAATAATCATCCAATCTAAATCGAAAATAAAGCTCTCATATGATAAATATTTAAGTTAGAATTTCTTTGTTGCAGAATTTTTTGTATTTTAAAAGCTATTAGTTTTTTAATGAAGTAAGAAAACTTGGCTCTCCATCTACATTTCGCATTTTTTTAATTAAATTATGTAGTTGAAAAATTCATGGATATAATCTTGCAGTAAATTTAGTTCGAGTGCCAGAAAAAATTATTTTTTCAGTGCAAGTGCAGCATTTTTGCAATACGTTCACAAGCCACATTACATAAACTATTAGGATCCAATACACACACTTAATGCAGCAAATAAGTATATTTATTTCGAGGTGTATTAACCTGTTGCCTAACTCCGATGCTCCAAACTCTTCTTCATGTTCTACTAGTGATGTCATCTTATAAACTATCTTTACTTGATACTTTTATTTGCCAAACTTTTCTTTCAATTACAAATTACTTTTAACTGTTATTGTATTCAAACTATTTATTATCTTTTAGAATTAGATTCAAAAGAAAGTCACATACATATGCAATCTTTTTTTTCTTCTTTAGCTTACTTTGAAACAATAATTTACCACTATCTTGGAGCTAAAATCAAACAAGAACTTACCTCCACAAACTTACTACTAAAACTACTCTATTCCTATTAGCTTCAACAGATAAAAAATCAATCAGTATCTAGTTCCTAACATTACTCAACAGCCCTAAACATCTAAGTTTAAATAAATCACTGTGAATGATACCACATAACAACTAACAACTACCATCTATCCAACAACGGGCTTTGACCAAAACAAAAAAACATTAAACCATACAAAAGAAAGTCATCTACCTTCAAAAAACTTTAAAATGATTCAAGTCATTTTAAAACACCAATTACATCGAATATCTTATAACAATACTAATCGACCATTGTGTTAGAGCTAAAATCAAACAAAAACTTTCTTCTCTATCACTAGCACTCTATACCTATCACTTTAGTACATAAAAGCCAATCAACATCAATTCTTAGTCTTATCTGAAAAAAGCAATCCTAACTATCTAGTTTTGAATGCATCACTATCTCATCACTAAATACTCGATACCTATCAGCTTTAATACATAAAAGTTAATCAACATTTAATTCCTAATCTTATTTAAAAATAGCAATTCTAGCTATATAATTTTAAATATATCTCCAAGGATGATATTATATATTTGCCAACAACCACAAGTCATTTTATCTACTAGCCACGATCCAAATGGAAAACCAGCAGATCATATAGAGAAAAGTAAATTATCTTGAAAAAATTATTAGCTTATTCAAGTTATCCTAAAAATACCAATTGCATTGCATTTCTTAAAAATAATATTGATCAACCATTATTTATGAGCTAGAGTCAAAGTTATAACGAGTGCATATTATTTTGCAAATGGTAAACAAGTTACTTTCAAGCAACTGACGAAATCATTCAATCGCATTCTAAGATTGAAGATTAAGTTTAAGAATGATTAAAGAGAGAGAGAGAGAAGAGATACTGAGTGTTTCAGGAAGCCACCAACTGGAATTGAGCAAGTTCTCAGCTTCCTGTCTGCGGACATACCTTTCATGCTATTTCAGTGCCAAAGTTCACTAGCCCATGTCGACAGGTGTGGAGGAAATATATTAGGATGATCACTGAATAGTGAAGGGAACATCTCATCATACTGAAAATGCAAATGTTGCAACAATTGAAAGCATAAATGAGAAGTATGCGACACTTTAGAAAATATTTCTAATTATGAAAACATTTAAAGGAAAGTTCACAAGATAAAATAGTTTCTTAAGAAGTTTTAGATTGTGAAAGAAATGATAAGTTAGAAGATTAAAAAAGACTAGATTACCATCTATGCAATAGAGCTCCAAATCCAATCGTTTTTCTTGCTTTTATTTTTAGTATATTTATTATTACTGTAACATTTTTACGATGTTAGTTTTCAAGAAAACCCAAATACTCTGAATACTTTGGGAGGGTAGGGTAATCAATCAAGCAATTCTTCTTTTCGAAAGTTCCCTCAATCGGAAAAGGGTAATATGTTCATATTTGATTCATACATTAGCATATAACTATGGAATATCCACAGCATTAATATTCTATTCCCAACCTACCTGGGGCTCAAAGGAACGTGTCAAATGTATTTAGAAACAGAGACCAAAAGATCAACTTTGCAAACTCCATAAAAAACAGAACCTACTAAATCAAATTTCAGAAGAGAGTTTGTTTGTCTGTAAAATTATTAAAGCTAATCTGGAATATTTAAATGAAAAAACAAGAAACTGCTGCTATCTTCGAGTAAAATTCAAGTCCATAAATCATGGTAGAAAGGAATAAGAAAAACAACATCTCCCCAGTTAAGAAACCTGCTGCAATGTTTATAACAAGAAAGAACTCGAATTAATTTAGAAATATGTTATGTGTGAAATTTAGGAAGAGGGCTTTTAGGGTTTGGAATGTAGCAAACAAAGAGAGAAGTGCAGAGAGAGTGAGAAACAGACAGAGAGAATAAAAGAGAGAAGAGAACACAGAGAGAGACAGAGAACCAATTCATTATTCCTCATTGCAGATATAGTTGAAAATAACTGATGCTAAGAAACAATTAGTTAGTTGTAAGAAGACAGAAACTGTAAACCCAGATTAAGAGAGACTAAATCACTTATGCCAACTTCATGAAAGGATAACCAAAAATAAATAAACTCCATGAATGATCACCTACCAATATTAAGAGATAAGTAAAAATACCTCCGGCTACCGTTGGGTCTTTGAAGAGAAAGACATATCTCTTCTTTCGATCTTCTTCTTCCCTCTTTCTTTGCTCTTCTTTTCTTTCTCTATTTGGCTCTTTACTCCCAATAAACTGAAAAAGAAATAGAATGGTAGAAAGAGGACAGTTTAATTTGTTTTCTATCATCTTCTTCCTTACCTCTTTCTGATATTCTTTT